TTTTACTCTTTTTACTAATATGGGCATTTAAACCTATAATAGCACTATACTTATAGTTTTTTTTAGGGAGAAAGTGTGCTTTATGTTTTTTTATCCGTACTTTCATTTTGTTGCTAACATGGGAAATGTATTTCTTTTCATTACATTTTGCTATTTTGGTAAAGAGATGTAAGTATGTTGCAATGCTGATACTATAAAATGTGTAAGTATGTTGTTATTATGGTTAAAGAAATGTAGATGCACTTATTATGAGTAAAAACTAAAGTATGTGCCTATATTGGTAAAAAGAAAAATAAAATGTTATTTCTTGGGAGTCTTTTTAGGTTAAAGTTTGGGTAATTTGTAATCCCTAAAACGGAGTGGACTATGAAATGTACTTTATCTTTTGGGTTATGGCTTGGTCATTTTATTAGAGTTTTACAATCTATGCTTGTGTGATTTTTGGTAAAGCATACACTCTTTGGTGTGAAAAAATGCACAAATTTCTACACTCAATATGCAAGAGCCAAGGAGCCTTATTAAGCCATTAGATGAGTGATTATTGCATATAATCATGTGGTGTTTAAGGATATAAACATCTTCTAAACACTTTGATTTCTTGTAATTATAACATCTGTGCTTGTCTTTAGACGTTCTAGTCATTTTCAAGCTCACCATAAAAATAAAATAGGGAGTTCTTTTTTGCAAAATAAAGGAGGGGACATGGTTGTTACACAAGCACACACAAAGCCGATCGATCTCATTAAAATCGCTTGATTCGTAAGGAGATTCATTGTAGCTCCATACCTTTATGTAGGTGTGTAATTGTGTATGACTGGTATAGTTTGTCAAACAATTATGTATTCTTTCATTGTATGGTTGTTTCAACAATATAGAAAGATATGTAACTTGTGATATATAAATGACAAGATTTCTAAAAAGTCTTTTGATTGATAAACTTATCTAAAATTTCGACATTATGTGGTATCATAGTATTGTAATTAACAATTTTCACAAGTCTTAAACTATTTTTAATCTACTCGTAAACTACTTTTTAATAACATGTATCCTTAACCTCAAAGATGGATAACACGTAATCCTATTGTCCTATTGAACAAATACTATTGAGCAAGAAGCTTTTGGTAAACCAAATGTATTTTAGATTAATCCATGATGAATCCGGTCAAATATTTTTTTTCTGGAAAAAAGCCCATAAGCCCAGCCCACTATGCCACTGTGTATATACCTTATCAATCGGAATTAGGGTTGCATTTCCTCATACTGCATCCGAATCGCGCCGGAGCAACCCTTGACGTTTGCAGGTATGTTTTGTATATCATTTACTCTCATATAAACAAAACTAAACTTATGCTTCACCGTTGATTTCCATCCGTTAACTGCAATTAATATATGGCATGCGTTTGATGAAGAAAACGGCGGAGTAGGGTTTGGATTTTGTATTCATCTTCATATGTTCATGATCGGTCTCGCTCTTTATTTGTTTGTCTGTCAGAAGTTACAATTCAAATCGTGTTGGTTGTTAAACAGAAATGTCAGCTTTTGAATAGAAAACACTTCAAATATGCTCATAAGAGGCAACATTTTGTTGATTGTTGAATGTGAAATGACACCTTTTCAACTCTATCGATTGTGTCTATTATTGTAATCACTTTTAAATGGCTTAGGTTCTTGATCTAATCTGATCTTCATTCCAATTTTAGTTGCTCTATCAGAATCAACAATGGTGTCAGGAAAGAAAACGGTATATCCCTGCTTCCTTCTCATCTACATCTTTAGTTTTTATCCGAATTGCCTGGTCGCTTGTATAATGTTTTTCGTTTACATTTTGCAGAAGAAGACTCATGAAAGTATCAACAACAGGCTGGCTCTTGTAATGAAGAGTGGAAAGTACACTCTTGGTTACAAGACAGTTCTTGAGTCCCTCAGAAGCTCCAAAGGTGATTTAAATTCCAAATCCGTGTCTTTTTTTTTTTATTGTTTCTTTGAATTGGATCTATCTTGTAGAGTCCTATGTTTGATGGCATTGAAATTGGTATCTAGAATTGATTTTGCATCTTTTGGTAGGTAAACTGATCATCATTTCCAACAATTGTCCACCCTTGAGGAAATCTGAGATTGAGTACTATGCAATGCTTGCCAAGGTTGGGGTTCACCATTACAATGGAAGTAAGTTTCTCTTTTACTTTCTATGTTCTTTTGAACAAAAGCTCCATATGTTGCTTGAAACTGATTATCTTTCACATTAATTTACGATTAGACAATGTTGATCTTGGAACTGCATGTGGGAAGTATTTCCGGGTGTCATGTTTAAGTATCATTGATGCAGGTATTGGATTTGGATTGGATTTTATAATATGATTATCAATTATGTATTTTTATTGTTGAATCATTAATCTGGTTTGGGTTGGTATTGTTTTAGGTGATTCTGACATCATCAAAAGTCTTCCAGGAGACCAGTGAAAGATTTAAAAGTCTGTACTCTTTTTGTTTTTTATATTTATTCAAACTTTTGGCAAAGTATATTACCCTCTATTGAGTTTTGGAATGGTTTTGTTAGTATAGTGATTTGGTGCCTTTGTATTTGGTTGTTTATTGTGTTGTTTGACCTTGTTATTTTAAAAAAAAAAAAATTGAAATGTTTGATCACCAAAAGTATTTTTAATATGTATTAAGATTTTTATATAAAGGGCTCTAATAACATAAAATCCAGCTTAATAGATTAAGATGTACCAAAAAAGTTATTTTTGAATTTTATCATGTTGTAACATTTTAAATTGTATAAAAATAGAAATTGCTGGTACGAAAGAAAACGCCTAGTCTTAAACCAAAAGAGCTTGTCTGAAATTGAGGCCTTAGGTTTTTTCAACCTTTGAAAGTTGACGACATTTCCTTTTTGCGAGACTGGTTTTTCCAAATCCGATGTGATATTCAAGTCTAATTGCTCGAGTGACAGAGAGATTTGAGAAGGTATAATTCTAATTTAACAATTGATTTTTTTTTTTGTCATTATTCAATCCCCTAAGAGGTTAACTGATACTTTATAATTAGACGGGTAGCAACTCCATTATAAAGGAACAAAAAACTGGCTAGTCGTCCAACTTGGTATCGATTGAGACGATTGATGTACCTCATTCACCACATCTGTAGATACTCTCACTCATATTATCTCCACATCTGTCACAACACATTTCGCAGAAGCGGAAGCAACATTTACAATTATCTCCACATCTGTCACAACACATTTCGCCATCACAGAAGCGGAAGCAGCATTTACAATCAACCCCATCAGGACCACAACCACAAACTAGATTACTAAGAACTTGGTATATTGATGCACCACCACAAACAACATCATTAAGAAGTTGGTTGACGATATTGAAGCACCTTAGACAAAAGTTAAGGGTTCAAGTCCCCTAACCTAAAAATAGTGTACACGGCGGTTGATTTGAGTATGAGATGAATCTTGATGACATATCTATATACCTATAAATGAGGTGGGGCTAATAGTGAGTAAGGGTTGCAATTTGTGACATGACATAAAATATGACATGAACATGACACACAAATAAATGGGTATGAGATGATCTTAAGCATGTTTCGGTCGGTAGGAAGGTTTGTAGGATCAGCTAACCGTTTAATTATATTAGGTTAAAAAAACATATTTTTGTCATTTTTGAATATGTGATGTTCTAAATCTATGCAGCACTAAAACTAAATCCCTTTAACATGTCGACCCACAAGTTTTAAACTCTCAATCGTCCTCTCTCACGCTTTGAATCTGCAATGCTGTAAATCCTAATCCTTTCCACATTCCATGATTTCATGCAACAAGAATCAACTGTTTTTTAATATAAGTTCTTTTACTAATATTTTATTCTTATGAATATAAGCTTTATTGATTAAAACTTAAGGAAAATAACTTTACAAATAATGAAATAATGTAAAATATGTTAAAAATGAATGTGATGTATGCATGGTCTTACACGACGACAACCTGCGTAACCCAATTATGACCCACAAATCTATTTATAACCCTTGAACACAATTATGTCCAACAAACCCCACAAACCCATATAATTAAGTGTGTTAGGCAGATTGTGTCAGTGTTTGGAGTTTGGAATATACGGGTTACTGTTGAACCATATGACGTGCATAATTATATTAGTCGTGTTTGAGTCATGTTTTCTCATCTGCCAACCCATCAAACCGAACACGACATGATTTTCATCCTTAATAGTAAGGGACTTTCACAATATGTTAGGTAAAACTATTAGTATAACTCTATAAGGTATTTACATCTTTATTAATCAATTAAGAATGAATACACAATAAATCAATGTAGAGTGATGTCTTCATGGTGGATTCTTCCACACTGAAGACCCCATCATTAATGGATGGGTGTATTTGATGGAAGATTAACCCTTTCATATGGACAAAGCCCTTTGGATCTAGATAAATAGGAGAGACCCTACTTGACCACGTCTCCATAGTTTAGACAATTCTTTCGGTGATGATATTATGACCATACACACGTAGAGGAATACATCGATAATGATTCGAAACCTAGTTTTGTATTTTAGAGTTGATGATGCCTTTTGTGGAGTTTGAACATGGGTGGTTTTTGCTAAAAGCATATTATGATCCGGATATTCTTGCTTATCGATTGTAAGGGCATCCACAATGCATTGAACTCTATAGAGTTCAATGGAGTGTCACATCATTATTCACTATTCCATACAATTCTATTTATTTTTATCCCACAATGTATTAAACTCTACAAGTTCAATGGAACATATTAAAAAAATATTTATTTAAAGATGTAAAAACTTTCCTTTTTCCCATTGAAGAGTTCAATGACCATTAAACTCCAAATCCATTGAATGCCAAAGTGGCATTTCACAATGGTGGAGTTGTATCCATTGAATGACAACTAGGCATATCATCTCATTCAACCCTTCCATTAAACTTCACATTGTGGATGCTCTAAGCATAACAATGCATGATGGGCGGTTATACATACCCTTTTTAATACCTATGATTATGAATAGGGTGACTAGCTACATAGACCCTTTCGATACCCTACATGTCTATTCGTTTTTTGGTGTCTTGGACTTGCGTTTGTGGACATCGACCATTTATATCGGTCTTTGGTCTGTACATTATTTTTTTGATATCATAGAGTGGCTTAGTGCTCTTCAGATCCATGTCCATAGAGTCCTAGGGGGCATCTACTAATGGACAAAGGTAGAGAGCGATATGATCCCCAATGAGAGTTTTAGATTGGTACTCGTCAACGCATCCAAGGTGCCGCATTAATCTAACATGTGGGGAAATTATGGAGTTTGTATGTTTTTCCTTGAAATGTTGACTTTTGGTCGATCTGTGACTATAAAGAGTTCCACCGTTGATGGCTCTATACCATATCATGAGCAATATACACAAATAATATGGGGGAACACGTAACACGTTTAAACATATTTTAATTTGTTTATGATGCTTACGTGAATATTTTTTTCTCTATTTTTTAAATATGAAATTCCCTAAAATCATACAAGATATCATTAAAAGGGGATGGATGCATAAACCTAATAAATTATCACAAGGATCCTTAAAATATAATCATTACCAAAACATCATCCATAATCATTTCATAAGTTAACTATTTACGATTAGCTTTACATTTGGCGCATCTTAACCACTATTAGCATCATGGAGTTCTTTTTATTCCATTGGTTTTCCATTTCTTTTTCTGCTCGATTTATGCTAGAATACTTGAGGTTAAAGTACACTCAAACTCATGGGTGATTTTAGATCGTTCGAAAGACATATACGGAGTGAAAAGGAAAGGTAAGCTATAGTGTTAATTAGGATAGTCAAAGACTTGTTTTAGATTTGGTGTAAACCATCTTATGTTTTTACGTATTATATAATGGTTGGATAAGGTGTTAAGTGAGAATTCATAAAGGGCCAAGTTAGATGAGGGTTTTCATTAAGTGTGTTCATAAATAGTGAGTGAGATCATTTATAAAATAACTTCACAACTCTTAACAATTTTGCAATTTTTTCTTTGATATTATGTATGCTAAGTGTCTCAACACTTTTTTTTTGAACGATTTGAATAAGGAGTCGATTTGTACACAAAAGTTTTTTTTGTCATACACAATAATATATGATTTAGATGAGTTCTACTATATGCAAAAAAAAAAAAAAAAAAAAAAATATGTATGTCAAAAACTGGTGTGTAAAATTCAACTTCTTTGAATAGTAGCTCATTGGTGAAACACTTTGGGATGTGGATGGTATCATACTAATCAAGTTTGAATATTCATACTACTCAAGTTTGAAAATTGTTGTTGCCCTTCGTTCTTATGACCATAGATGTTCGTTTAAAGTGAATTCATGATATGACACATATCATCATGATCACACATATGATTAATCATGTTGCGCGTAAATTGGTCGAGACATCAACTCTTCTTTCAAAAAATAAAACACCCTCTTTTGGGTTATTATAATGATTAAGTCTACTGTTATTTAGATTTATATCAATTTATTTAAATTACTTGTTTAGGTGAATTGCCAACAAATTTTAATGATCGTGCTAAAACGTAAAAACATATGTAAATTATTTAGGGAAAATGATTCTTGAGGGTAATTAACTTTTGCGTTTGTACTAATTTTATCCCTTTTTTTTGTATTTAATATACCATCGAACTTGTTGTTGGTGTTTACCATAGCCATTTTGACCGGCTTTTGACCTGTGATAGCCGGTCAAAGGGTTATGGTGAACACAAACAACAAGTTTGATGGTATATTGAGTACAAAAAAAAGGAAAGGGACCAAATGAAAACAAACGCAACAGTTGGTTACCCTCCTGATTCATTTTCCTTTTTACTCATTTACAACAAATCCCACATCATCTCCTACTGATATTAATGATTTTATGAAATTCATTCTTGCTTCTCTTCAAAACATAACCCACGAAAGGACATTATTCATGCATGTACAACTTTGTAATGCACTTGAATATTTATTAGGGGAATCTTGACTAAGTAGGCGCATTTCATGATTACATTTACATTTCCAATCAAATGATTTATCGTATCATGGATTTTAGACAAGTCTACAAACGAGTGGAATCATAAGTGCTGTGATTTTTGAGTTGACTTAGCTTTAAGATCGAACTCATGGGATAAGATACAACATAAATATGTACAATATTATGTTGCTTTTGTAGACACATCACCATAATATTGTACATATTGATGTTGTATTTTATCCCATGAGTTCGATCTCAAAGCTAAGTCAACTCAAAAATCATAGCACTTGTGATTCCACTCGTTTGTAGACTTATCTAGAATCCATGATACGATAAATCATTTGATTGGAAATGTAAATGTAGTAATGAAATGCGCCTGCTTAGTCAAGATTCCCCTAATAAATATTCAAGTGCATTACAAAGTTGTACATGCATGAATGATGTCCTTTCGTAGGGTATATTTTGAATAGAAGCAAAAATGAATCTTATAAAGTCATTAATATCAGTAGGAGATGATGTAGGATTTGTTGTAAATGAGTAAAACGAATATGAATTAGGAGGGTAACCAACTGTTGCGTTTGTTCTCATTTGGTCTCTTTCCTTTTTTT